CCCCAAACCCCAAACCCCAAACCCAAAACCCCAAAACCCCAAAACCCCTCGTATACTAAAATGAAATAATTGTAATAAGATGTATAAATAGGAAATTATAAGAATAAATATTTATTGTGAATCAATTACTTAAAGAATTAAGAACTTTATATCTAGAAAGATTTCGTCTTCTCAAGAAGACAGTCCTCCCAGGACATTCTGGATGTTATTTACAGTCAGCCAAATTTAGGACTCATAGTGTTTCATTAAGATCGCCACAGCTCATTTTCCTCATTAGAGAATTCAAACTGTCGGAAGTTAGAATAGTTTAAAAACTGCTTATCCTGCGTAAGGAACTGTCATCATACACTTCAACACTTTAATTGAGTTCAGCACATTCTTTCTTTCTTTGATCCCAGTTCCATTTGTATATCTATGTTGGTGACATTCCGATTTGTTTTGCAAGCAATTTCATCTGATCCTTCGACCATTGTTTATTCTTAAGGTATTCCGTCATCAATATGTTGATCTATTACCTTCTTCGCTCTCTTTTTTCTTTATCAGTTAAGATTATCTCCTTGCCTGCCATTCTGAGTAGTCTGTTCTGTTCAGTCAACATCTTTTGCTTCTCAGCTATCTACTTCTTTGTTTTTCTGATTCTTTTACCAACAAGTGGCTTTTCTATGAATTCAAGGTCAGCCAATAATTTATCAATATGCTCATTAAGATTTGTAGTGATTTTCTCCTAAACATATGTGCGATTATTTGTATGTTCTGAAAGACTTGACTCATTAGAAAGGATTATGTCATCGGTCTTCTGCTCACAGTTTGATATAATTTCGTCTAGTTTAAGAGATTTTCCCAATATCTTTGCTCCAAAATTTGCATTACTTAATATAAGCTAATCTTGATTCTTACTAGGGTAACTTAATATGAGAGGTTGGTATTGTATTTAAGAGTAATTGCACAAAAAGTTGTTTTAGAGTTATTCTGAATTGTAGCTCTGATCTGACACTGTATTAGATGATTTATCAAAGGATTTTTAGAAATCATTGATGAATTAAAGGTCTAACTATGAGGACTCAAGTTACTATGATGTGTAGTACTTGTTGCTATCGTATTCAATGCTGTTGCACCCACTAGAATTGTTTTTTACAGAGAAAAAATCAGGAATAGGAATGTTTATTTGATCTAATAGCTCAGTGATCTCTTTATTGAATTTTTCAAAGTTCAAACTAGTCTGAGCATTGTTTTCATACTGGATATGGTTGTAGGAACCCTCACTGTATATGGGGTAAGTACTGTTTACTATACTGTTATCTTGGTATCTTTAGTTATTGGACATTTCTTGGTATTTTTGTGGAGTTTGTTTCTATAAAGTTTTTACTTTACTTAAAATTATAAGCAAAAGCATTAAAAAGGCCTCGAAATGCAATAAAATTAATGATTAATCGGGTTTATTTTACTAGTTAATTTAATAAGGTTTTAGCTATAGGGGTTGAAACACAGAAATTTTATTGCACATCTATTTGGACAGAGGACTTTACGTGAATTAAGCTAATTCATTTCAAAAAATATCAGTTTGATCTTTGAAACACGGGGTTTTGGGGTTTTGGGG